ATGTTCAAATATCCAGAAATGACGTCATGATAGAACAATGTGTAATCGTGACATAAACCACGCTTTCTTCTGTGTTCTTTGCGATTTATCGCGCAACTACCATATATATAGCAGTTTAAACCTAGAGTCGCCTGTCTGTATAAAAGTATACTTAATGTGATTTTATAATCCCATGATGTCGGACTCATTGGGTTGAACAATAAGTACGACATGCACGAACGTCATCCCGTGAGTTTTATAGCTGCTGTGATCTACATTATTCAACATGCGTTGAAATGCATATAAACAAGCACCACACAACGAAAACCTTCAGCCTGAATCAAAACTTGCGTTGCTATGGCAGGGCAATATGTTCGATCAATAGATCAGGTTTCAACCTAAAGAGAGACCCGAGAAGATCCGGGGTAGAATAGGTCTTCAACAACCCATGGGATCGGATTGTCAGGCTCGCTGATTTGGATGATGCAGGTAATCGTATCCCAATTGCGTGGATCGATGCCAATCGCTGGATTGTCTGGTCCAGACTCGATTATTTACAAACCACCGTCATATAGCTGGAATATTGCGGAGTGCTGCGTTGAACAACAAATAAACAAACAAACACTAGCAGACACAAACCATACCACCCGTGACATGACTGTCACTAAGGTCATGTTGACCCGATGTCTTATCAGTTGTTACACGTACACTTCACATAACATTGTTTGATCAGGGTAGGTCGACTATGGTTATTTCCGTTTTAAGAGTGTCCATAACTGAAGTCAGGCAGTATGTATCGACAGGGAGTGGCATTTTAGTAACTTGCACTTTCCTGTGATAGGTGTCGCTGCCTTCTAGTTTTTACCCACTTCTGCTATGAACGTTTTCCAAACCCCTGAATAGTTGAGTGACAATGGCCTCATGTGACACGTGGTCGACCTCTAACTGTGAAGTAAAACAGGTTGATGAAATATTACGTGTACATGTAGTGTATGTGGTGCAAAATGGAATGCAAAGCTCATTTAATTATTTTTGGGTTATAAATTGTGACAAAAACTTTAAGAATCGAAATAGTGTTTGGATTACAAACAAAAAAGAAAAACTGAAATTAGTTAATAAGAACATTTTAACCATATTCAAGGTTTGCGTGAAGGTGAAGAACACACTTGAAAAACAGACAGTTCGACTTTCTGTTCCAGTCACTTAGAAACATGTATACTGAGTTAAATTAAAAACTTCACATTTTAAAAAGTAATCCCGTATATGATATACAACGGACAAATGTATCAGAGAAGGTAATTTTTAATCTTTAATGTCCAAAGAAGGATTTTAATTAACGGTGGTAACCATAATTTGTTCCAAGCACCTACGGTATTCAGTAATAACATCAACAGTTTTAATCATAAGTCCCAAGCACGATAATTTGATGGCACACAAGTTCAGTAGCGTGTATGGCCACCATGTGCGTTGACAACAGCCACACAACGCCTCCGCATGGACCTTGTGATGCTTGTGATCACATGATTAGGAAGACGACACCATTGTTGCTGCAAAATGGAGCCAAGATCTTTCAAATTCTGTGGTTGGTTCTGGAGAGTGCGCAGCCTTCTGCCAAGAGCATCCCAGACGTGTTCGATGGGATTGAGGTCGGGAGACCTTGACGGCCAGTCCATGACGTTGACTCCCGCATTCTGAAGGAAATTCCTTGTCAAAATTGCTGTGTGGGGTCCGGCATTGTCGTGTTGGAAGATCAAACCGGGTCCATGTGCCGCCATAAAAGGCAGAGGTTCTGGTGCCAGTACCTGGTCGCGGTAAGCAGCAGCGTTGAGGTTGCCACGGATGACAAGAAGCCTGGAACGCGCATTGCCACAGAAACCACCCCACACCAAAACACTTCCACCTCGAAATCTGTCAACTTCCTGTACACAACACTGGGCGTAACGTTCATGACGGCGCCTCCACACCCTCGCCCTAACCCTAACATCAGCAAATCGAAGATTAAATCGGGATTCATCACTGAAGACGACTTGATTCCAATTCCACTGAGTCCATCGTAAGTGTCGCTGTGCCCACAATTGACGTTGACGTCTGTGTAATTGAGTCAGAATCGGCCCGCAGTATGGCCGTCGAGCTTGAAGGTGAGCAGTTCTCAGACGGTTTCGAACAGTTTGCGCACTCAGTCTACCCCTAAACAGTTCATTTCTGGTTGATGTAGCCGTCAAAAGCGGTTACGGAGGTGACGTAAGACAATCTGAAGATCCTCTGCATGTGACGTCACACGTGGTCGACCTGGCTGAGGGCGATCAGCGGTGGTACCCGTTTGCTGTAGACGTGTGTGTAAATCATAAACAGTCCGTCGACTACAACCCATCGTCCTTGCGACTTCGGCTACAGACGTTCCCATCTGCAACATGCTGATGTCACGTTCACGCGCACATTTGAAAGGCGTGGCATGACAAATGGCCGTAAAGACTTTTGTTTTCGTGTGTTTTTCTTTTTTTGTTAATGACTGCTAACAAGTGGAACACGTGCGGTATTATGGCCAAGTGACCAGTTGCACGTGAAAAAACACTTTTGCCACAAAAGTGCTGTGCACATGGTTTTGATCGAATTACCTGCACAAAAACGGGTGTTATCTGAAGACAATACGTGACTATTACAATAAGGGCCCACAATGATAACTGGTCAAAATGTTAAAATTTTAGGATTGTGCTTTTAATTTGGTTCAGTATATATACACACAATACTTGCACCATGTACTTACACCACAAACTTGCACTATATACGTAAACCATGAACTTACACAATGAATTTACACCACGCACATACATTATATACTTACACTTTGTACTCACACTATGTGCTATTCACTCACACTATTGTCTTACACCATCTCCTTACTGTATGTACGTACCCCATCTACACACACTGAATGCTTACACTATGTACTTGCGCGACATAGTTACACTTTATTCCTACACAATGTACCAACATCATGTAAATACAGCATGTACTGACACAATGTACGACCCATGAAGATCCGGGGTAGAAAAGGTCTTCAGCAACACATGCTTGCTGTAAAAGTTGACTATGCCTGTCGTAAGAGGCGACAAACGGGATCGGATTGTCTGGCTTGTTGACATGGTTGATGCATGTCATCGTATCCCAATTGCGTAGATCGTTGGTCATAATATTAATCACCGGATTGCCTGGTCAAGACTCGATTATTTAAAGACCGTCGTCATATAAATGGAGTGTGGCGTTAAACAAACCAACCAACCATCTAACCAACACAATGTACATACACCACGTACTTACACCATGTACTCCCACCACGTACTTACACCACGTACATACACAACGTACATACACCATGTACTCACACCACGTACTCACACCACGTACTCACACCATGTACTCACACCATGTACTTACACCACGTACATACACAACGTACATACACCACGTACTTACATTATGTCCTCCCACCACGTACTTACACCACGTTCTCACACCACATATATTCACCACGTACTTACACTACGACTTTACACCACGTTCTTACACAACGTACACACACCAAATACATACACCATCTTACTTTCACCACGCACTTACACCACGTACTTACACTACGTACTTACACCACGTTCTTACACCACGTACATACACCACGTACTCACACCACGTATATTTACCACGTATTTACACTACGGATTTACACCACGTAAATACACTACGTACTCACACTACGTACTTACACCACGTTCTTAGACCAAGTACTCACACCACGAACATACACAACATATTTACACCCCATGCATACACCACGTACTCACACCACGTACATAGACCACGTACTGACACTACGTACATACACCACGTACATACACCACATATATACACCATGTACTCACACTACGTACTTACACCACGTTTTTACACCACGTTCTCACACCACGTACACATACCACGTACATATACCACGTACTCACTCCACGTACTTACACCACTAACAGACACCACATAGATACACAACGTACTTACACTTCGTACTTACACCACGTACATACACCACGTTCTTACATCACATACTCACACCATGTTCTCACACCACATACATACACCACGTATTCACACCTCGTCCATACACCACGTACTCACACCACGTACATACACCACGTACTTACACCACGTACTTACACCACGTACTTACAAAACGTATTTACACCACGTACTTACACCACGTACTGACACCACATACTTACACCGAATACTTACACTACGTACTTACACCACGTTCTTACACCACGTTCTCACACCACGTACTTACGCCAGGTACTTACATCACGTAGATACACCACATACTTACACCACGTACATACTGCACGTACATACACCACGTACTCACACCATGTGCTTACGTACTTGCTCTATTTACTTACACTGTGTACTTACTCCATTTACTTACACTACATGCTTACCACATACTATACTTACACGACGTACTTACATGACGTACTTACACACTGTACTTACACAACGTACTTACACGACGTACTTACAGGACGTTCTTACACACTGTACATACACTATGTACTTACATGACGTACTTACACTACGTGCTTATGCGGTGTACTGACACTACGTTATTGCACCCTGAACCTAATCAATGCATACACCAGCAACTTACACGACGTACTTACACGACATACTTTCACGACATACTTACACAACGTACTTACACAACGTACTAACAAGACGTACTTACCCACTGTACATACACCATGTACTTACACGACGTAGTTACAGGACTTACTTTAACAACGTACTTACACAATGTTCTTACACCATGTATTTACAGACTATCAAGAGCCTCTGGAGAAATCATGGGAATGTGTTGATTCTGGTTTCATGATGTGGTTGTTATATAACTTCTCTGTAAGTTTGCATGTTGACCTATAGTTGCTTCAGCTTCACAGCACACTAGTGTCACGTTTAAGTTTTTTTTGTGTTACAGAATGGATTGTGTACATGCTGTGATGTTTGGCTCGTTGCTGATCATTAAATGTAAGTGCATTTTTCAAATTGACAGGGTACAGATACAAACTTGTTATGATTATTATTATTATGTTATTATGTTACGGGACGTTATATGTGCGCGTGCGTGCATGCGTGCGTGTGTCTGTGTGTTCGAATATAAAACCATATGTATATATATTTCCTACACCTCTATTAAGTATCTAGCAATTCCATTGGTAAATCCGTACCACGTGACGAAACAGTACATTTCAGACTGCCTCAACCGTGAGTTTGTTTTGTGGCCTTTGTTATTTTCAATAGACCTGTGTTTGATATATTGTCCGAACAGTGGAATTTGGTTGCCAACAGTAAATGGTTATATGATCCAGAATGAGAATGTTTTGACCGACGTGAGGCAGGTCTACGACCCTTTCTACATAACTGCTCATTTAACTGCTGTTTTCAGTTCCTGCAGTACAGGATGTCACGGCGTGCGAGTGGGGCAAGTATGGACATAACTGTGACCGACTATGTTCAGATCACTGTGGACTTCATCATGGCAGAAACCTACGACACTGTCAGAAATATAGTGGGAAGTGTTCAGAAGGGTGTGTTCGTGGTCGGCATGGTGACCACTGTGATCAACTTTGTAGTCAGAACTGCATCAAGGCCACGTGTAACCAACCCTACGGGGGATGTACAATCGGGTGTATAGATGGATACGCTGGATATTTCTGTAACATAACAACAGGTGTACAGATACAGCTCTATACACAAATTCTGATATCAGTGTTTTCATGATACCTATTTTATCTCGCACGTTCATATCTCAGATTAATTTGGCAAATCAACACAATTGTGTCTCAAAAACAAACAATCTATTAATGACATGTATACAGTCGAAAATCATGTTTCTTTCATTACTTAATCGCAGATGTCACAAAATTCGACCATAACCAACATTGTTTTGCTGCACAAAACCCTGCATTCAGGAGTACAACATGTTAACATCAACAATGCATATGTGGTGTAGATTAATGGTTCAAGTGCATGCATGACTAAACAAACCGCATTGTTTCCAGTTTTCGTGTTTCTTGTCATACGAGTGAAATTTATGAACAACTAAGAAATGATTATCCTTTTTCTCTGTTGAGGGGATTATTGTTCTGTCCTTAGTTAAGATTAACTTTCAAGTAATGGTTAATAGACCACATTTCATCAAACGGTTTTCATTGAGGAGACTTTTGCAGGACTTTCTGCGCGAGAATGTGGACACTTATTAGATTACGTTTCAATGTAATTATTTTTATGAGTTTAAAACACAAAACTTCACCCAAGGGAGTAAATCTTGTCCCTTGCAGATTTAATGCAACAAATATTGTCCACATTAATTTGAAAGGAACTCATCCTCTTAACTTCTGCTTTCAGTTTCTGCAGTACATGGTGTCCCGGTGTGCGAGTGGGGCAAGTATGGACACAACTGTGACCGACTATGTTCAGATCACTGTGGACTTTACCTTGGCAGAAACCTTCGACCCTGTCACAAAGATACTGGGACGTGTTTACAAGGGTGTGTTCGTGGTCGGCATGGTGACCACTGTGATCAACTTTGTAGCCTGAACTGCATCAACGCCATCTGCAACCAAGGCAACGGGGGGTGTACCATCGGGTGTATGGAAGGATACAGTGGATATTTCTGTAACATAACAACAGGTACACAGACACAGCTCTATACACAAATTCTGATATCAGTGTTTTCATGATACCTATTTTATCTCGCACGTTCATATCTCAGATTAATTTGGCAAAACAACACAATTGTCTCTCAAAAACAAACAATCTATTAATGACATGTATACAGTCGAAAATCATGTTTCTTTCATTACTTAATCGCAGATGTCACAAAATTCGACCATAACCAACATTGTTTTACTGCACAAAACCCTGCATTCAGGAGTACAACATGTTAACATCAACAATGCATATGTGGTGTAGATTAATGGTTCAAGTGCATGCATGTCTAAACACACCCCATTGTTTCCAGTTTTCGTGTTTCTTGTCATACGAATGAAATTTATGAACAACTAAGAAATGATTATCCTTTTTCTCTGTTGAGGGGATTATTGTTCTGTCCTTAGTTAAGATTAACTTTCAAGTAATGGTTAATAGACCACATTTCATCAAACGGTTTTCATTGAGGAGACTTTTGCAGGACTTTCTGCGCGAGAATGTGGACACTTATTAGATTACGTTTCAATGTAATTATTTTTATGAGTTTAAAACACAAAACTTCACCCAAGGGAGTAAATCTTGTCCCTTGCAGATTTAATGCAACAAATATTGTCCACATTAATTTGAAAGGAACTCATCCTCTTAACTTCTGCTTTCAGTTTCTGCAGTACATGGTGTCCCGGTGTGCGAGTGGGGCAAGTATGGACACAACTGTGACCGACTATGTTCAGATCACTGTGGACTTTACCTTGGCAGAAACCTTCGACCCTGTGACAAAGATTCTGGGACGTGTTTACAAGGGTGTGTTCGTGGTCGGCATGGTGACCACTGTGATCAACTTTGTAGCCCGAACTGCATCAACGCCATCTGCAACCAAGGCAACGGGGGGTGTACCATCGGGTGTATGGAAGGATACATTGGATATTTCTGTAACATAAAATCGGGTACACAGATACATCTTCTTTGATGGATATTTAGAAGTTGGAGTTCGAGGTAAGGATAAAAATATATGGATGAGCAACTTCTTCAATTGTAATAAAGAAGTGGTTCATCCATAAATTCTTATCCTTTCTTACACATTATACAGTTCTCTATCATATAATGGGCAGGTTTGTCAGCAGGATAAAGCCAACGGAACAGTGCTATAAACAGATCCTGATAAGTTATGTGTAGGGGTTAAGTCGGAATATAAGTACTTGGTATAGATGTTGAGAAGATGGCATACAGAAGATTGACAGCTCCTAGTTTCTTACGACTATTTGGATATTAGATGTAAATGTGCATCACGTTTTGACATAATCCAACATTATTTTTGGTTGATTTTAAACCAATAGATAATTAGTGATTACGTGATTTAACATGTGAACTCTTCACTAAAGTGCGCTTCAATAGTGACACCCTATATGCAAGGGAAATTACGAGTGCCTTGTATGTCGGCTTCCTTTTAATGAGAAATGTTAACGTACATGAGTGTGACTTATTTTTATTCTACGATTTCACTGACTGTACTAATGGTATACTTATAAAGCGATACTGTCTTCTATGACATAATAACATGTCATACACTGTCTTACAAAACATTCTGTTAATCCAACTCATTGGCCTCGTGGATAAAACATTCACGAATTCATTCAAAATCCGATTCACCACCTTCTTAATAGAAGATGCTTAAAGGGGGGCAAATGTCTGTAATGTCTGTAACATACATAACATGCAATATTGTGCTATATTTCACATCATTACAACACTGGGTGGTTTAGAGCGAGTGAGAACAGAGTATTTGAAGATTTAGACACAGTGTTGATTGGCTTACAGACACAAAGTGTTGTGTACTGAATGCAAAGAAGAAACATGTTCTGTTTTAATACCAAGTGCAATTGTCGATTATACCAAGTTTACACAGACATGTTTGTGTGGTGAATATTCTGTGGATTAGTTTGCATTGACAATCTCTATATCTGTCGTCTGTTTTCTATTGTAGATTTTTAATCTTCGTAAAATACTCTGTTAAATATTCAGGTTTACCAAGTTTCCCATTTGCTGAGTGCATGGTCTGTTGAAGCTTGTATGTTATAACATGATCAGCTGTGTATAAATCGGCATTCGTCTGGCTTGAAATTCAGCTAACTGTATCAGTTGATTTTTTCTGTAACAGCTTTTATCATGACCTTTGACGTCAGCAACAATAGTGGTTTATGATCAGATCCTTGACTTTTATTTATTATTCACAATAAGTTTCATTTGTCATCTAAAAGCTAAGAATAGGGCATGATTCTGTCTGTATTCAATTAGTACCATAGTTTCTTGTATAAATTATATCGGACGCAATTTCCGATTGGATTATATGTCCCCGTGAACAATTTCCTTGCCTTTACATGTGTTTGTGACGGATTTCACCAGTGAGGTAGGATAAGCTCACTTTTTCGTGAGTGTCATCAATATTAGATTGCGATTGATGAACACATTCTCACGATATAGCCGGAATCGTAAAATGGTCTCTGCTTGTCTTATCATTTTGGAAATTGTTGTGTCTGCTGAATGGTAAATGCCTCCCTCTCGTGTATTTCCATTGACTCCAACTGCAGGATTTCATTAAATGGGATGTGAGCCGTGGATATGTACTTACATGTATATACAGACGCATTATCATATAGTGTTCTACCAAGCTGTAACTGTGTTGCAGTGACCACTGGCTACAGACCATGTGACTGGGGCAGGTTGTGTGCAGGGATATGTACTTACATGTATATACAGACGTTTTGTCTGATAGTGTTCTCACTAGCTGTGTCTTTGTTACAGTGTCCACTACCTACAGACCATGTGACTGGGGCAGGGTGTGTGAAGGGATATGTAATGACATGTATATAAAGACGTTTTGTCTGATAGTGTTCTCACTAGCTGTGTCTGTGTTGCAGTGACCACTACCTACAGACCATGTGACTGGGGCAGGATGTGTGCAGGGATATGTACTTACATGTATATAAAGACGTTTTGTCTGATAGTGTTCTCACTAGTTGTGTCTGTGTTGCAGTGTCCACTACCTACAGACTATGTGACTGGGGCAGGTTGTGTGCAGGGATATGTACTTACATGTATATACGGACGTGTTGTCTGATAGTGATCTCAGTAGCTGTGTCTGTGTTGCAGTGACCACTACCTACAGACCATGTGACTGGGGCAGATTTGGGGAAACATGCGATCAAGGCTGTCCTCCAGGTTGTGCCCTGGGTTCCGACAGAAACACCAACTACTGTCAGACTGACACTGGAACGTGCACTCGGGGATGTCGGCGTGGTTGGCATGGCGACCGATGTGAGAACCTCTGTGGCCGGAACTGCATTGCGGACTCCTGTTATCAAGGAAGCGGACATTGTACCCATGGCTGCAGAGGGATATATACAGGAGAGTTCTGTGAAGCAGAAACGGGTAAATAGGTCGAACCCAATCACGATACTATCCTGCTGAGTCACCTGAGAAGCGTCAAGTAGTGTTAGGCTCTCGAGGCCAGTTAATGAATAAAATAATATTTGTTCAATTGGACAAAAGAAGATTAAAGTTTCAACATAGTGAAAAACAGTATGTTTCAAATACAAAATTTGTTGAATGTAAGCCATTGGAAATTAACCTTCTATACCTAATATTTATTCTACTTAATCCCATAGAGTTTTCGGTTACAGGTGAGGGGCACAACAGACAGATTATTTAGTCATATTGTGGTTGTGTGTTGTAGGTGAGTGGCACATTAGACACGCTAATTAGTCATATCGTGTTTGTTACAGGTGAGGGTCACATTACACAGATTATGCACTGGATGTGGATGTTACCTGTTGCGGTCTTAATCTTTTCGACAATTTGTTGCTGGAAGAGGTGAGTTTACTTTGTGTGGGTCGGGTTCTAACCTGACACTACTTCACCATCTAGATTATGATCAACTCATTTTGTTCAGCGTAACTTTGACGTATTTTACATGAGTAAAATCTTGTACTAGAATCTACAATTTTTCAGTTGTGCGAACACACGAATGTTACTCTTTATTTTCCATGATGCCATCCTTATCAGTAATGGCAATTGTATCCGGTCGTTCACTGATGACAATTTTAATTCAGCACACGACATGGTTTTTATGGAAAATGTGAATATGTATTTGTGTGAGTTAGCCAAAATTGGTTAGTGTTTAAGAGGAAATATCAAGCAGGTGCCCTGTGTTTTATGACGCACATATCTTTGCAGTGCACGATGTAGAAGGTTTGACAAAGGGTTTAGGTGGCTGATAAGAAGGTAATTCTCACGAAGACTTGTTCTTTAAAGCACGCGGTAGTATCTTCTCTAAATGATTGTTGGTAGTGTTGCTGAAGAGGTGGGTGAGTAAGTTTGATGTAACGCCGCATTCGGCAGCAGTTCAGTTATATCGCGGCGTGTAAGCTTGATGTGGGAGGAAAGCCCGAAGTGATGCAGGTCTCAGATGTTTGCCACTTTGTTGAAACCCACGAACACGTGTATGCTGCTGAGAAACCAAAAGACGTTAAAAGATGGTACTTGTTGCTACCCTGTCTGGAGCTCGGCATTAAGGGGCTAAAACAAGGACTGGTCGGCTCGGAGTCAGTATATTATGTCTGAGTGGGGTATTCATGTTAAACTGCGGCATGGTATCTCAGTGAGCTGGCACTATAAATCGACATCAGTCCGGACTAGTACAAGCAGCCACACAAACACACACACGTACATGCACGTCGCTATATAAGTGCAATAATCTTGAAAGCGACGTTAATCCCCATTTCACCTCACCTCACCATGGGTATAATGTTGTACTCGAATCACAAGATTTCAGTTTTACGAAGACACAAATATTATTCTATATTTACCATGTTGCCATCAGTGGCAATTGTATTCGGTCGTTAATTGATGCCAATTTTTATTCAACACATGACATGGTTCTACTGGCAAATGTGAATACGTATTTGTGTGGGGTAACCCCGAAGGGTTTGGTGTATACGAGGAAATGTCAAGCAGGTACCCTGTGTATTAATAACTAAATCTATTTGCAGTGCTCGATGTAGAAGAACGCTAGACGAATGGTTTACACGGCTTATGGGAAGGTAATTTCCATGAAGAATTGTTCTTTAAAACATGCGGTAGTATCTTCTCTAAATGATTGTTGGTAGTGTTGCTGAAGAGGTGGTGAGTAAGTTTGGTTTATAGTAGTTTCAGTTATATCAAGGCGTGTCGGCTTGATATGAGAGTAAAGCCGGAAGTGATGCAGGTCACAGACGTTTGCTACTTTGGGACACCCACGGACATGGTTATGGTGCTTACAAAGCTAGACACAAAGTCAGGGTGATCTGGGATTCATACGATCATAGTTTTTAGCAATGCCCGAATGACCTCCTCTGTTCAGTAGAACAAATTGTAGCGTCTATGACAACTGACATGACCGTGTCCCCTTGTTACTAAAAAACACTCCATTACTTTATTTAGATATTGCAGTTTTACTTACCCCCTCTTTTATTCTTTTTCAGGAATCCCAGTACTTGTAAGTGCCATTTTACTTTTTTCAAATATTTCTTGAAGCATAATTTGACAATATACAAGTATGCATCTAAGCATCTTCTAATGGAAGCAGCCATCTGGTGAACAGTTTGATTTGGGAATGTGGACGTTCTTGTTTCACATTTTACGACTGCCTCTGCACTATAGCCACAACCAGCATGTGGCGGCAATGTCAGGTTACTTGTCTGGGAATCTAGCAAAGGAAATTCATTATGTCTCAGATTATTCAAGTTGATATTTTCAACAATTCACAATGCTATCTCTGACAGCCACGTAATCCACCATTCACTCAGCCAACCTCTAGGACAGTCAGGTAAATTCAAAACAACCAAACAACACACGGATGATAGTATGACAACACAACCAAACAACACATGGATGAAAGTACGTCAAATTACGAGACTGCAAGACGCTGTTTCATCCTTCAGATAGGAATATGTTCGGAAGAACAATATACTATTTCAAGAAACCTTCATATTCCGTGACTAATGCGTTGTCACCAACTAATCAGCAATGGAAACTTATTATCGATAACCCTGTATTATAATATTTTATGTCATGCAGAAATCGAGATATCTTCCACATTAGACTTGTTGCTTTGAATTAAACTATATGACGTAGGTGCTGCCTCACAGCCTTCATATCCCGCACTCCAGACAAGGACATTTAAAAGCGTCATATGAATATGGTGTGAACATTCATATCTCAAAAAAGTGTCAAAGTATTTCATCGAAGATAACAGACACAAATTGCATAAAATAGATAATACAACGTGAAATATACTTAAATTGTGGGAGCATTTGTTCTCAATGAAAACAGCAAAATCTTGTTTGTATCCCCCTTGCATGTTTCCATTTTAAATACACTATTTCAACCTGTTGAACTAGTATGTAACTCACGTACATTATAGCCATGCTAACTGACGACATAAAGACACTTTACTACTTTAAAAATGAAATTGCAAAACATTGAAAACACAAGTTCAAACTAAATCGATGCAAAACACATCGTCCTAACACAACAATGCTCTATGCAGAAAGTGATACACGTCTGATTTATTTATAAAGTGCAAAAAAGTGAAACAAACGTGTCGTTTAGGCAGCCGAAACAACATGTGCATAAAGTATTTTAACGATACGGACGGAATGTTTGACACTGATAAAAAACAACATCACAGAAATGCCCCACGTGACACCTGAACAACGGGGGCGGGCCCTGGGTATGATACAGAGCCACCCATGTCCACAGTGCTGGAACGTTTGGTTGCTCCCGTGTTGCTGTAACGAACCTGATACAACGTCACAGACAGACATCAGGCAGGCCAAGAACAGGAAGACCCAGGGTAATCACGCCAAATTGAGACCGGGACTTGCATGCTTTGCATCTCCCGAATCGCTTCCTGACAGAGACGTCATCACTGAGTAGTATAGGTAACAGGGGTTCTGGACCACTTCCACTGGAGCCAGATTTATATACCTATACCACCGCTAAAGGGGGGACTTTTTATGTGTAAATGATTATGCGATTCAACGATCGTCATGATATAAAACTAATTTCATTATTATATATTTACTTATGTAAGCATTCTTCTAAATGTTGGTTTTGGCACGGAATGAGTTTTTGTCTCACAGCTCTGCGATACTTTCTATACAATCCAAGTCTCAACTCCCTCTCCTTCTCTATTCGATGTTTTATGTCGCTTATTTGATGTAATCGAAATCCATCAACTTCATCAAGCGCTGGATATAAATCCATATTATTATTACATCATATAATAGTCTTTAATTGGTCTTGCTTAAATGTTTTGAGAGTAAACATAAACCTTATCAAATGTATGTTATACGGCATGAATATCTTAGTAAGAGAAATGCTGTCACTTTTAATAATTTGGACCCCCTCAAGGGTTGCAACAGGTGATGCTCCAATATGAATAATACTGCAACGTTGACGTTGGTGTTTCTTTAGCCATTTAATCGATAGACCTTGTAATATTTCGAAGGCATCTTCCTGTGCATCTCCGAACAAGACTTCAATAATAAGCATAGAAAGATTAGGTATTCTGTTTAATATCATTGAATTCAGTAACCGAATTTAAACTTACTTTTTTTATGCCGGACAACTATATAACATATGACCTGGGTTTTCTGGTAGGGGAGAGACTAACACACTTTTTCGTTTTGACGGGATATAAGCCCCGAGTACGACCCCACTATTTATTGTCTTAGTTAAATTATGTGCCTTACCCGTCATCACATACGGTGGGGTAATGACGATATTCAGTAGCCACTCGATGTTTGCTTCGACCATAGTCCATTTATTATCATCGTTGCGAGTAAGATTGTATGAAGTGTTTTTATTGAGTCTACTAACGTCGACATCGCTTATATCTCCTAGATTACCTGTGAATGTAACTTCTTTCCGCTTGTATACATTACCTTTTAAGTGTAAAATTGTATTACATTGTCTGAGTGTTCCAGGGCCTGATGAATCAACCATTATTTATAATATGGAGTGTTACACTCAAGTATCCTATATGTACAGGTTAATGTTTTGCATCTAATACAGAAATTTTGAGATCTGAAATAATACCATGCTTTAATTTTTTATATTGTAATGATGAGAAAGATTCCGTTCCACCACTCTGATTTTTCATCTTTGACTGGAACAGCTCTGAGTAGAGTTGAAGGACTTTCGAGTTGAATATTATCTGTGGTGCTTATTTGATCAAGATGGATGCACAACTCTTTATAGGGAACTAATTAAACTCCCGCAAATGTTGTCTCGATTAATGTTAGTTCTTCTCTAAATCCAAGTGTAATTCCCACGTTCATGAAAAGCTTTACACCCTTTTCTCCAGCGTTCAAATCAGCATCCCATTCGACTCATTTTGTGTCAGACTAATACCATTAGGAGGCGACTGTGTGGATAGTAAGACTGTAGTTAGACTTACAGTATATCACTCCACACTGCATTAATTATGGAGGCGGCTGAATGGATGGTAAGACTGTAGTAAGACTTACAGTATATCATTCCACACCCCTCAATTATGGAGGCGGCTCTGTGTATGGAAAGACTGTAGTTAGACTTACAGTATCTCACTCCACACTGCATTAATTATGGAGGCGGCTGTGTGGATGGTAAGACTGTAGTAGGACTTACAGTATATCACTCTTCAGCCATTAATTATGAGGACGGTTGTGTTGATGGAAAGACTATGTAGTAAGACTTATAGTATATCAAACCACACTGCAGTAATAATGGAGGCAGCTGAATGGATGGTAAAACTGTAGTAAGACTTACAGTATATCACTCCACACCCCTTAATCATGGAGGCGGCTCTGTGCATGTAAAGACTGTAGTTAGACTTACAGTATCTCACTCCACACTGCATTAATTTTGGAGGCGGCTGGATGGATGGTAAGACTGTAGTAAGACTTAGAGTATATCCCTCCACACCCATTAATTGTGGAGGCGATTGTGGATGGTAACACTGTAGCATGACTTACAGTATCTCACTCCACACCTATTAGTTGTGGAGGCGACTGTGTGGATGGTAAGACTGTAGTTAGACTTACAGTATATATATCCACACCTATTAATTATGGAAACGGCTCGATGGATAGTAAGACTGCAGTAAGACTTACAGTATATCACTCCACACCCATTAATTATGGAGGCGATTCTGTGGATGGTAAGAATGTAGTTAGACTTACAGTATATCACTCTACAGACATTAATTATGAAGACGGTTGTGTGGATGGAAAGACTGTAGTAAGACTTATAGTATTTCACTCCACACTGCATTAATTTTGGAGGCGGCTGGATGGATGGTAAGACTGTAGTAAGACTTACTGTATATCACTCCACACCTATTAATTGTGGAGGTGACTGTGTGGATAGTAAGACTGTAGTAGGACTTACAGTATCTCACTCCACACTGCATTAACTATGGAGGCGCTGGATCGATGGTAAGACTGTAGTAAGACTTACAGTATTTCACTCTACACCGCACTTATTATGAAGGCGATAGTGAGGATGGTAAAACTGTAGTAAGACTTACAGTATATCACTCCACACTGCATTAATTATGGAGGCGATTGTGTGGATGGTAAGACTTTGGTTAGTCTTACAGTATATCACTCTACAGCCATTAATTATGAAGACGGTTGTTTGGATGGAAAGACTGTAGTAGGACTTACAGTATATCACTCTACAGCCATTAATTATGGTGGCGATTGTGTGGATGGTAAGACTGTAGTAAGACTTACAGTATATCACTCTACACACACTAATTATGGAGGCGGCTCTGTGTATGGAAAGACTGTAGTTAGACTTACAGTATCTCACTCCACACTGCATTAATTATGGAGGCGGCTGGATGGATGGTAAGACTGTAGTAAGACTTAGAGTATATCCCTCCACACCCATTAATTGTGGAGGCGATTGTGGATGGTAACACTGTAGCATGACTTACAGTATCTCACTCCACACCTATTAGTTGCGGAGGCGACTGTGTGGATGGTAAGACTGTAGTTAGACTTACAGTATATATATCCACACCTATTAATTATGGAAACGGCTCGATGGATAGTAAGACTGCAGTAAGACTTACAGTATATCACTCCACACCCATTAATTATGGAGGCGATTGTGTGGATGGTAAGAATGTAGTTAGACTTACAGTATATCACTCTACAGACATTAATTATGAAGACGGTTGTGTGGATGGAAAGACTGTAGTAAGACTTATAGTATTTCACTCCACACCTATTAATTGTGGAGGCGACTGTGTGGATGGTAAGAGTGTAGTAGGACTTACAGTATATCACTCCTCACTCATTAATTATGGAGGCGATTGTGTGGATGGTAAGACTGTAGATAGACTTACAGTATATCACTCCACACTCATTAATTATGGAGGCGATTGTGTGGATGGTAAGACTGTAGTAGGACTTACAGTATCTCACTCCACACTGCATTAAT